TCCCCAGTCGCCTTTAAGTGACTGGAAGGGATGACCCAACTCCAGGGCCAATTGAGAGCATGCTGCATAATTCAGCAGATGGCTGCCTCTAATGAGAAGACAATGAAGGAGAGGATAACATTATGTCTCACCCTCCTGAGCATGTGGCCTCCTTCCTCTGTGCATGCAGCAAAGAAACCCACGGTTTCAAATCCCAAATTGCAGCAGCAGAAGCCTCCTCCTGCCAAACCAAGGAGGAAGGGTCTGTGTTTCTAATTTATTCTGTACCCCCTCCAGTTGTTACTTAAAATAATCCATCATTACATGACTGGTGGCTCCAGGATTTTTATTTAAAGCAATATGGGGAAAAAAAAAAAAGAAAGAAAACCCACACATAACCCATGACTGTGCTATCTGGATTCAAGCTGCGAATCTCTGTAACATCAGAATCTTCAAAGTACCCACGTATATTCTCCTCTAATCTCCATGAGTGTGCCGTGAAGGGAGCGCAATGAAGACAGGGAGAAGAGGGGACGTGGCAAGATTTTTATTTCTTAGAAACATCATGAAAAAGCCAGAGTGTTTGTTTTTAAATGTATCCGTGTCATCTGGTAGGTGTTTCATTGTTTGATCCACTGACCAGCAATAACACTTTGGACTAAGTCATTTGATCTTCCTGTACCCAGAAAATGAAGAGAATAATACTTGTCCAGGAAGCTGCTGGGGAAAATAAAATCATACAGACGGAAACATTTTGAGATCATTGACAGAAACATGTTACACTTATCCATGCTGTTTGTTTTCTTTCTTTTCTCTTTTTTTCTTAAATGTGGTTATAATATACATGCAACTAGAAGCCCTTCTCAATTGTTTATGCTAATACGAAACTACAGCTCTGATAATCCAGGAACCCAGGAAAGTCCAGAGATCAGTCCTACTTAATTCTGGAAAACCTTTTTCCAGGGGACTTAGCTTCCTAATTAGCTTTGCTTAGGCTAATATAACAGGTTCTCTCCCTTACACCACACAAAGGGAGGGGGCTGTGCTGGGTAACAAAGCCAGCAATTAATAGAAAATTTACAGCAGAGACTCCACAAAGTAAATGTTATATGCACACGACTGCCAATCAAAATTTCATTATACTGTACAGACAGATCACTCAGATGTAATGCAGTTTTGGAATAAAAACATCACTAATACACATTTCCTGAATTTAAGATAGGAAAAGGAAATGGGACTTACTCCTGCCTCTCATCTGGAAGCTCTGAGAGGGCAGAGTCCTATTTGCCTAGATCCCCAGCACCTGGCACAGGGCCTGGCAGAGTCACTGCCCAATAAACACATTTTGAAGAAATGAATGAAAACAAAAGTGTGTGAATTAACAAAGGAAATGTAAATGTTCCTAGCCCAGTAGAGGAAGTGAGATCTCACCCATCTTCACACCTACCCTTTTCCTAGTTGAAGCTCTCAGGAAGCCTTTCCTGTCACCCACACCCCCAGCCACTGCAGGATTAGGTCCCCTCGTATTGAATTCTTATAGGAGGTAGTTTTCCTGTGCAGCACTTGCCACATGATAATAGTTACTGGCGTCTGCCTCCACTACCAGATTGTAAACTCCCCCGATTTCTTATTTTGAAAAGTCTCAAACACATAAAAGTTGGAAAATAGTACAATGATCATCTATGTACCCTGGGCTTAGATTCGAGAAGTTTTAATATTTGGGGCCATGTAAATTTTCTTCAGTGCTATATCCCCTGTAGAGGTATGGGTGAATATTGGGGTTTTAATCTCCCCGTTTAGGGTATAATATTACTTTTAGTGTGAGATGGTGGAGATGGCTGAGGCAGGGAGCCTAAAGTGGAATCAAGGGGAAGTAGGTAGTTGCTCTGGGACAGTTGCCCCAGACCAACCCCAGCTAGGGCAAAGGCCAGCCCCTGCAAGCTCTTTCATTAGGGAGAAAGGCCATTATCTGGGTGCTGTTGGAGGAAAGCAACATTGCCCACATTGTTGGAGTATTTAAAGCCAGAATCAATAAGCCATTCTTTATATAGGCCAGTAGTTATGATCTGTACCCTAAAACACAACATTGAAAGAAATAGCTCAATACAAGAACCAGGAAATGCAGCCTCTGGAGCCTGAACTGTACCTGGCTAATCATGTAACCTCTCAGAGTATGTATATATTAATAGCAGCCAAGCCATTTCATAAGCAGGGGTTGGGGATGAAAACATCCCAAGAATCTGCTATAGTTCTCTAATTATTATGTCCACAATTTGTGTCTTCAACTAGACTGTGAGCTTAAAAGCAAAGAACAATGTTTACTATTTTTTTGTATAGTTGACCAGGACTAGTCATCGTGCCAGACATTTAGTAGTTAATCAAATAAACACTTGTGGTCACAATAGAGAAATCATTTTGTCATACAGAATCTTTGTGGTGTTCATTCAAACAGGATAGGATTGTATTAGGTACACAAGAGCTGAACTTCCAAGTTGCATGCATGCCCAAATAAGGGTCCTACCCAACAACTCTAGGGCCTGTTTTAGTCACTAACCATGTTACCTTACTAACCAGAGTGACCCTCAATTGACTCTGGAAAGGACTCTTCCCTTTCCCCCACACACCAGAGGACTACTTGAATGGCACCATGTGTCAAAGCTCATTAAAAAGAACTCTTAAGCCAGACATACTTTATTCTCCAGTCTTCTCTTCCCAAACCGTGGATACACATTTCCTGAAAGAAACAAGCTGCAACCAGACTTCGAAGGTCTCCTGAGTTAATTCTATCTTCCCCTGGTGAATTATAACTTCTTGCAGACACAAAGGAGAGCAGAGAGACAAATGACACATTAAACAAGAGCTTCACTAGCTGGGGGAGGGGGGCATGAAGAGTGACGTCAGTTTTCCCAGAAACCCATTTATCACGATAACAAGGTCTCAAGTGCTCAGGCTGCTCTTGGAGCTTAAGAATCTGGCATACAATTATGTTCATCATACAGTATGGCAAAGCCAGCCAGAGCAAACTGGAACCATGCAAAGCAAACCAAGTGACCCAAATTACCCCCACCCCTATCTGCAGAACAAAGGGATCTCTGGATTGCTAGAGTTGTGCCTGAGGTGAAACACAACCTTCTGGAATGTTCCCCTTTACAACATCTGTCTTGCAATCCTAATCCGGGCAAGGGGACTAGTATGAGTAGGGACAGGTCGATGCAAATTAATTAGCTGACAAGAAAAATCATTAGCGTCCTTTTTGGTCACTAAGGATTAGCAAATGTAATCCAGGAGACTAATTCCTCTCTTTAAGCCATGACATCTCTAAAACGCAGGTAACGAGGAGCAGAAAAGCACTCTGGGAACCCTCAAAACACTAAAGTAATAAATATTATAGTGCCAATCTTGAGGAGAACCGAATTCTCTGAAATTCCATTATCCCAGCACATTGTCATCTATTTACTCAGAGTCCTTCCACATTGTGACTACATAAAGAGCTCCATTCTGGAGTCTGCAGGGGGTGGGGAAGGTTCCAAAGAAATCACCCTGCCCCTTCCAAACAGAGACAAAAGGGTGGAATAAATTCACACATATCCTGTAGAGAAAATACTCGGATTCCGCATTCAGATTTTGAAAACAAATCAATTTCAATTACACCAAATACCTAGAGGTTATTATTATTATCATCATTTTGCACTAGAATTTCATTGCATGGGCTATTTCTCTTAATAAGTAAACCACAAGGTTTTAAAACATTTCTGTGTGTGTGTGTGTGTGTTTCAGAAATTTTCATCAAGTAGTGTTTGATGTTATGGGATTTGACCTACGCTTACTTCACTCTCCTCAGGGTGTTGGTAATTGTGGGCTGAAAATCCCACAAACCCATGGATGAACAGAAAGGATAGGCTGTTCCCCTAAATGGAATCAACTCCTCCCTTTGCAACCTAACTTCTGGTCTAAAAAAACAAACATGGAGCCTCAGGTCACTTCAATATGATTTCTCTGAACGTTTCAGGCTGGAAAACTTCAGTTCTTTAAATGAAGATTTTTTTTTTCCAGAGTCAGTTGCCAACAAAAAGAGAGACGGCACCATTTTTGCAAACCTCACAGTAATTTTCCTGAGTCTCCAAAGAAAGAAGCCAGCTCCACAGGTTTGGGCACACAAGCCCAGCTACACTGAACACGTACCACGATAGACCCTAGGAGGGCCGCACAAGCCGGGTCAGGTGCTCAGAAACCTGCAAAATACGCAGCCAGCCACCTCCAGGCCCATCGGACTGCACCCCACAAAGAGCTACAGATGGGACCCAGAGGCACGCAGCACAAGCAGAAAGGCGTCTGGACGCATGGGCACACACTCTGCAAGTGAGCACACTCATAGAAACTGGAAGACTCATTTAGGGTCACAGAGCAGCGGGGTGTTGCCGCCCGCCGGGAGGCACGGGTGCGCGCGCGTGCACTCAGACGCTCACAGTGCTACACTCACAGACGCAGTCACATATGTAATGCATATGGAGAGCCCCTCCCCCAGCCAGGGACCTCTCCGCCCCTCTCACTTCTCACCGCCTCCTGCCCCTGGCTAACGCCAGTCCCGCGTCCCCTTTCCTAAGGAGGCCCGGTCCCAGCCGGCAGCTGGGCGCACGGGCGCGGTCCGGCGGTCGAGGAAGCCAGGCCAGGGTGCCTGGGACACAGAGAGCTTGGCGGCTCCTGTGGCCATTCATTCGGCAACGCCCCAGCTGTTGCAGCGAGGGAAGCGGCGCCGCTTACTGCAGATCTTGGGCAATTCAAGTTCAGCCGCTGGCCCTCAGCTTTGGCCAGGCCCTCCACCAACCCGTCACTGTCGCCATTCTCGGGGACAGGTTAGGGTTCTGAGCCGCTGACCCTGAGAGCATAAGTCCCGCCGTGCCTTGGCTCCTAAGTGCTGCCCACTGCCCACCTCGCGGTGGCGGTGGCGGCGCTGGCAGCCAGGTCTCCTCGGCCCTTCCCAGGCCCCCGGCCCCGGCGCTGGACCCAAGTCCTGCACTCACCACCTGGCGAGCTATATCGGTCGCTGCCATCGCTCCTGTGTCTGCCAGGGCTGCCACGGGGACCACCGCAACCGGAGCTCCAGCACAGGAAACAGCCAAGCTCCTCCGACAAAGAGAAAGTGTTACACTTCGGGCGCGACCAAGTCCGGTGGGGGGAGGTGCAAGGGAGGGGCCCCTTCGCTGCTGCTCCAACCCCAACCTCCCCTCTATCGCCCACCCCCTCGGAAGTGCGGTCTGGGATGGGGGCGGATTTAACGCGCAGCTTCCCCCTACCAGCGCGCTTCCAGTTCTCCCTGCAACCTCCGTTGTTAGCCCTTGCGAAGGGGGGGCGGGGGCTCCCCTCAGTGACCCCATTCTGCCCCCCCCCCCGCCACTGGGCTTCGTGGTACGTCCCGACCTCTGCTGAATTGTCACACCCCCCTGCTCTCGCCTCACATCTCTGAGTCCCCAGACCCCCGGAGGCTGGAAAGGAGCCCTCGCCTCTCCTTCTCCCGCGCACAGCTCGGCGACTGAGCTCTGCAGTCCTCCTCTCCCTCCCCTCGGCCCCCTGGGCCCTCTCTTCCTCTCCACCGAGATATGAGGGCGCTGGGA